CAGTTCAGACGGGTGTGTGTGTGTGCGGGGGGTCACCCTTGGCGAGTTTCTGAAAGCAGAGACACCGTGCACTGAGGGCGGGTGTGAGCAGTGGCCCCACAGACTTCTGAGAGATGTCCAGTCATATCCTGACCAGCGCGCGCCGAGGAGGCTGCTGGCATAACAAGCACAAATAAGGCCTTGGCGCCGGGTTCAGGGAAAAAACTCTCCAAGAGCAAAAAAAAGTCAAGAAAACATAAAAATGTACGTTCCATTTTTCATACAGCGTTCCACCCGACCCCATGTGCTCGACCACACACATTTCCAGACGAGCCTTTTGAAGGCCCGAGCAGAGGCCTTTCTCGGGTGCCTCCATGGCCCAGAGGAGCAGGTCTCCTTGAGGCTCCAGCCTTGCTGGCCACTGACGAGAGCACCCCGCCCAGGGTGACTCGGTTTACACAGGTTTGCTGTGGAGGGCAGCCCTGGCTTGCTTCCAGTCCCCACTCCCATGAAGTCTCCCCTTCACCCCACCCCCACCCCCACCGTGCACACCCCTTCCCAGAGCCCTGTTCCCGAGCCTGTGGCGCCAGGGGCCGACAGGGACGCCGTCAGGCCTGGCGCCTTCTCCAGGTGATGGCACCATCATTCTTCAGTTATCACAGTACTGTACCTTTCAGACATACAGCATCGGTACCATGATAACCGAAAAAGGGCAGTTCAGTCTCTTCTCCACCGTGCTTCCCCTGCTGCACACGGCCATCTCATGCTCGCTGAGTCTGTGAGCATGCTAGTGCACGAGCACACACATGCACGAGCACACGCAGGCATGCATCAAGGCTCCAACCAGTCGCTTCCAGATGACCCTTTCATTGAACTGTTTGCGATTCAGGTGTTGTACGAGCTGCTCTCTTTTGTGAGTGCCAGCCTCCACCACGAAGTGGGCACAGATCCAGTGGACACTCTCCTGGCTAGTTCAGCAGCAGCACCGAACGCTGCCTCTCCTTCACCTGCCCAGGCAACTCCAGCACCATCGGCCTGGACCACAGGCAGCCCTTTGGGTTATGGTGAGAGAGATTGCTGGGGAGGAGAGGGCCCAAGAGGGCCCAACATCCAAACCTAAGGTATAACAGGGGCGGTTTAGCTGCGAGGTGGAAGTCCAAAGGGAATACGAGAGGAGACGCACACCATTCCACGGGGATGGCAGGAAGGATGAGAACTACAGCAAAGCAAGAAAGGTACATCCTCCTGTGTCCAGCCCCCCATCCCCCCAGGTCAAGAATCCCCAGCTTTGGCTCTCTACGAGAGGAGACGCACACCATTCCACGGGGATGGCAGGAAGGATGAAAACTACAGCAAAGCAAGAAAGGTACATCCTCCTGTGTCCAACCCCCCCCATCCCCCAGGTCAAGAATCCCCAGCTTTGGCTCTCTACGAACAAGAGGAGACAGGCGCTCATAGCACCAGGCAGGAGCACTTACGTGTAGGGGGAGAGTGGTCCCAAGAGGACTTTGGAAACGTCCTGCTGTCCAAGGGTCATGAGCAGCAAGGCCAGGCTCTGGTTGGTCGAGTCCACACAGCCACCCTGTAAACACAAACACAGCAATGATTAAGCCGTGTGCAAACCAAACACCACAGGGCAGCCAGGCCAGGAGGTGCCACTCGGAATACCAGACCCGTAAGATGCCAGACCAGGACAAAGTCCAAGCAGAAACTACACACATCAACACTAGTTGCCTGCGGGCATATTCTTTGTACAATTTGACTCATCCAAAAAGGAAAGTGAGGGCCTGGGGCACCCCACAATGTGGGTGAACCCTGAAAGCATGCGCTAAGCAAGCCAGTGGGCACCAAAAGACAATTATCATATGGCCTTGTTTATATGAAATGAGCAAATATATAAAACCGAAGGTTCTCTGTCATCCTATGAGGAGAGACAACAACGTAGGAACCCAAAGCAGAGCCCGATGAGGATCTGAGTGCAAGAGCTGGCACGGCCCAACCTGGGAGCCTGCCTGGGACGGTGAGGGTCGTGCTTCCTCCACCCACACATGCGCAGAGGCCAAAGGTGGAGCACACACAGGTGGGGGTCCTCTAGCCACACCTCATTCCTGCAGGCGCCAGCTTCCCTCCGGTCCCTTCAGGTCCCTCCCCAGCTAGGGGCGGAGTCAGCGTGCTGGGTCAGGTGCACAGAGCATGTGCAGGTGGGCGGAAACTACACTGGTGGGGCTGGCACAGCTGAGGGACCCAAGTGGGAAGGGGGGTCGGTGGTCTTCGGCATCATGCCCACAGGCCGGTCCCCTGCCCTTCCTTCCTCTAGAGCACAGTGCTGGATGTGGCGACATTCTTTTAGAATATGGATCCAGTGTCCTGTATAGAAGGAGCCCTGGTGGTGCAGAGGGGTGAGCACTGAATGGCCAGCAGTTCAAGCCTGCCAGTGGGGGCAACGAGTGGCAGTCTGTCTCCAGGAAGATGACCCCTTAAAGGTCCTATGGCTGGGTGGTTCCACGCTGTCCTAAGGTGACTGGGAGTCGAGACTGACCCGGCAGCAGTGGGCTTGGCTTTTGGGGTCACAAACAAACCCAAATTTCCTAACAAGCCCTACTGCCACCCAGCAACAACACAGGGTGCACCCTCCCCCTGCCCTTGGCATCCCGTTGTGCCCCTCTCCTTTACCAGGCAGTGCCAGCTCTTCCCTCTCCCCACCCCTCAGATCCACCTGCCCTGCTCCACCGGGGGGCCCAGGCAGGAACCCGGTGCTTGTGGAAGGGAGATCACCCCTGGGGGAAGACCGGGCAGGGGTGGCAGGGTCACATACCCTATAGATTTCCTCCAGCAACAGCCTGGCACAGTCACGGCCCAGGTCCTCGGGGAGCACTGCCGTGCCCTGGCCCTGAGGGCGGGAGGCCATCTCAGCACCGAGGAAGGTACCATTGGTGGTCTCAGCAACAAGGGACAGCCCAAAGCCCGGAGACCTGGGGGATTGGAAAGCCAGGTTAGGGAAGTGGGGCCCACGTCCCAGCAGCGGGGAAGGGGGCAGCGGCTTCTGATGGCTTCTTTCTGCCTCCATCAATATTGCTTAGAGAGGGAAGGCTCAGGAGGGCAGGTGCCCGCAGCCGTTAAACACAGCTGCCTCCACCCTGGGTCGAGATGAGGCAGCTGGCTTCCCTGACCACCACAGTGTCGGAACCTCTAGGACTGTGGTTCTCCACCTTCCTCACCCCTCCACTTTCTCATATGGTTCTTCATGCTGTGACCCCCCAACCATGACATTATTTTTGTTGCTACTTCCTGTCATTTTGCTACTGTTACGAATTGGGCGACCCCTGTGAAAGGGCCGTTCAACCCCCAGAGGGGTGAGCCCCACAGGTTGAGAACCGCTGCTCTAGGAGATGCTTCTGTCCTCTGTGGGTTGACATCAGTGTGATGGCAGTGGGCCTGGTGGTATTCTCAACATCACAAAATAAAGAAACCTAAAGGTCCCCTGATGTACATGGGGGGAAGTACTGGGCTGCTACCACAAGGTTGTTAGTTCAAGCCCACAAGCCATCTGAGGAAGAAGAGTCTGCTGACTGCCGTAGCAAGTTAGTTTCCACACCCAAAGAGGCAGTTCTACTGTGCTCTACGGAGTCATGACCAGTCGAGAAAATGGCAGTGAGCTTTGGTTTTTGAACAGGAAAAAAAGAGTTAGTTTTAATTACTTCCATCCTTCTTGGCTTCTAAACACACGGCCGAAATCCAGTTCCACAGCAGAGATTGTCAGGCATTTTGTTTGCACTGTCTCCTGTGAGGCTTCTCCCAAAGGCCTGTCCTAAACCAAAGCCAAATCTGTGAGTTGCCCAAATCTAAGGGTGTTGTCCCCATCGGTGGAGAGAGGCCAACTGGCGCTTGCTGAGGCACGGAGTTCTCCCCTCACTGCTGTTTACTGGGGAGGGGGGAGGGGGGGCAGCTGCTCCCACTAATGTTTGGTGGGAACAGGTCAGGCAGGATTTAAAGCTTCAAGCTCAGCTTTTTCACCACAGGGGTAAAACCCCTCGGTCTCCCAGCACCAGCCACCGGGTGACCTTCACAGCACTTCACGTGTGGCAGGCCTTGAGGAAAACCAGCTGGTGACGAGGGGATTAACCCTAAAATCGCCCCTTCTCAGCCTGCCAACCTCAGAGCAGGCGTGGGGGCGGGAGGGCGGCCTCTGCTTGACGCCTCTCGCCGTGCACTTACTTCCCGGAGCTGGCTCCTTTCATGTGGTCCGTGTAAATGTAGATGTCGGGGAGGAACCGGTTGAGCACACTCCTGGCCGAGTCCACGATCCGGTTGGCCATCTGAGGGGACACTCGGACAGAGTAGCTGCAGCCTGGAGCTAAGGAAGCCGATGCTTGGACCCCGGCGTGGGGCGAGCCCACCAGCAGGTGGGTGTGCACAGAACTGTAGCAGGACATCACGGTGCTAGCGGAGGCCACCAAGCCGCGGACACCCCCACTTGACGGAGGCCTGGCCACCGCCTGGAGCCACTCAGCGGGACCGCCGCCACCA